TCATAGGAATAGATTTAGCAAAAATTATTGTAAAAGCAATATTATTGCTAGAAAATGCTGGTGTTAGAGTAGAAGGAATTACAAGTGATGGTGCAACGATAAACCGTGCTATGTGGAGTATTTTAGGTATATCTGGAAAAATGGATAATATGAAAAATTATATTGATAATCCTTATGATGGAGACTGTAAAATATTTGTTTTTTCGGATGCTACTCATTTATTGAAGACTATTATGAACAGGTTAATCACGAAAAAATCCTTACAGGTAAAAAAAAAAAGGTACCTAAGAATATAACTACAATAGTTTATACCTTTAAGTTTTTAATTAAATATGTTTTAGATTCATCCCTCTAAGTCTTCAATTAAGTGGAATATTTATGAAAATGTTTTTCTTCAAGATTCAAAGTCACTAACAAAAGTATGTCCAAAATTGACTAAAAATCACTTTGACTTAAATAATTTATCCAAAATGAAAGTGAAATATGCCACACAAGTAAGACTTTGAAAATCTTTACTTTTAATACTGTAATTATTAGTATCTAAACTATTTAGTCAACAATTTAATTGTAATAATATATGTATTTCTTTAGCTGTTTAGTAACTCTATGGTTGCTGGGATACAATTTTTCAAAAAAAAACTTCTTAGTGGCTTTGAAGACTGTGAAGAAACCATTAAGTTCACTTCAATAATGAATGACCTCTTTGATGCTTTAAATAGAAGATTTCCTGGGTAGGAATAAAAAAAAATAGCAAAGATATAGAGGTTTTACTGTATGTGTTGCATGAGTATGAGTTTTTGCTTTGTGTTAAAATACATATTATAGAAATTTGTGTTATGAAAGAAAAACTATTGGAAAGTATTTTTTTGTATTTATTACAAACTTAAATAAGTATCATAATTGTTAATGTTAATATATGTTTTGAAGGTTTTACAGAATACATTAAGTTGGTTGAATGGCTGGGAAACAAATGTATTGAACAAATTAATAACAGAGGACCACTTTTTTACAAAAAACACAGCAGAAGGTCTTAGAGTAACAATTAAATCCACTATAGATTTAATTAATGTATTGCATACATCGCACACCCAGAAGAAGAACGACACAACTCAAAATTTGAACAATTTGAGTTGATTGCATATTCTAAAAATTCGTATTTTACTGATCGAATTGCTAAAACGACCGAAGTCAAATTAGTATTAGTATTTGTTTGAGACGTAGTTACGACGTTTTATACTTTTATATGTAAAGGCGCGTCCAGACGGAGCAGCTTTTGCCGTGCGGCCTCCGTCAGCCCCGTGCCGCGCGGCAAATACGCGTCCACACGGTGCGGCATTTATTTCCCGATTATCTTCCAGTAGACAATAATTTGGACTAAATCAGTTGATGCCAAAATGTCATCGGAGGAGGATGTCGTTTGTGCGCTTGCATTATTGTATGCGTACAAAAATCATACAAAAGCGCGGAAAAAAAAATGGTGGGTTCGCCCAAGTTTGCAGAGCAGAAAAGTTGCAAATGGATCAAGATTATTAAATGAATTAAGAGAAGATGATGAATTAAATTTTGAATTACGAGGTTCATTTCATAACTTTTTAAGAATGTCAAGTTCAGATTTTGAATACATATTGTGCAAAATAGAGCCAATAATCAAAAAATTTGATACTTTTATGAGGCAAGCTATACCAGTGCAATAAAGGCTCGCAGTTACGCTAAGATTTTTAGCCACCGGTGACTCATATATGAGCTTATCATATTTATTTAAAGTGTCTAAACAGTCAATTTCAGAAATTGTTCCCGAAGTTTGTACTGCTATCATTGATGTACTGAAAGAATTTATTAAAGTAAGTCAAATATATTATTACTTATATTTTATAAATAATCAGATACTAAACAAGAGCAAACTCAGTGTACACGTACTATAGCTACCAATTACCATGAAAACCTGATCTAAATGTATCTTATATTTTATTATTGTCTAAATACCATTTTTAAAAGGTAAACTTTAACCATAACTACAAGTTATGTCTATTATGAGCTATGAGCGTTGAATAATATACATTTTAGATTCTGATATATTGATTTTAAAACGGTGCGTGTTTTTTTTATTTGTTTTTAACCTAACCTAACCTGTCTCATTACTTTTTAGAAGAGTAAAGATGCTTATATTTTCTTTAACAGCATCATTTCTGATTGGAAAGTGAATATAGTTGGTACTTTGGGGGAACAGAAGTAAGAAATGCCCAGTAGTTTTCAAAAGTACCAGGAAAAATAAAAAATAAAAATAAGGAAAAATAGAAACTTTTACGCAAAATTGGTTTTTGACACAATCGATTTTGGGTTTTGCTGTAGGTAACTCTAAAAATTAAATATTTAAAAATGAATTTGTAGTTAATAATTTTCAAAATATTCATAATAGCTATAAGGATTAAAAATTTAAAACAAGGTTCCAAGTGAGTAGGTTCTATAGCCAAAAAATCGAAAAAATATAAACAATTTTTTGTATAGTTATTTTATGTTCAAATTTGGACGAGATTATACATTAAATAACCAAGATTTTAGTTATTTTGTTGTAGTTTTATAAAATTAATTCAAATTACCGGCTACCATATTATTAATAATAAGTAATACAAATATACATAATATGATATTGGATCATTGAATTCAAATTTAATACCATCCATTATACAGTGACCAACTGTAACCTACTGACTGCTGTTGTAGAGCAGAGCGACATCCACTTATTCGCTTTTTTATTTTATTTTACCAATATTAAGATATGAAATAAAATATTTTTATATTTATATATTTTATTCATCAAATAATATTTTAAAACCAAATAAGGGTATACTTAAATATAATTGAAATTATGAGACAATGTATATGTACTTCAATATAAAATATTTTTAAATTTTATTTCTCAATTAAAAATCATTCATAAAGGCAAGTGATTGGGACAATATATCGGATGGACGATTCATATCATTATTGGTTTCTTTTGGATCAGATATAATTGTCGTAGCTGATGTTGATGTTGATGGAGCAATATCGTTAATTCGTTCTGTGGCACCCATGTTGTAAGAATGAAGAGAATAGTTTGTCATATTAGGTGGAAAATCATAGTGACCTAGTGAGGCTTCATAAAGCATAGTTTGAATTTTAAATTTAATTGTTTTCCGAGCATAGTCAGTATTTAAATTTCGAACGCTATTTGCAACTTCTTCGCCAAGTATCACAAATTCATCTCGAGCAGATCGATTATCATAAATACCACGAACCATATTAACAATCTGTTCTCCTACAACATCTTTTTTCCCTTTTCTTTTGATTCCTTTTCTCGCTACAGTGTTCAGTTCCTGTGGAGAAGCTGAGGTTGTATGTGAAACAGATGACATATTTGAAACAATTGACTGCGATGATTGATTTAAAATAATGTCTTAATCTGTGTTGATATCACTTACCTAAAAGAAGTACATAGGTTTATGCCATTTTAATTTTACATATAATATTATTTATTTTATTTATATAGGCCACATAAAAGGATCTGTTTATTACTTTATAATCAAATTAAGTACTATAAAAATAATACATAATAGGTATTTAATCACTAAGTATATCAATTATATGCTTAATTTTAAAACATTAATGACCATTAAATAAATAATATAATACAAATTTAACATAAAAAAATTGAATAGTAAAAAAATTAATAAGGTATAATATATTTTAAAATTATAAAAAGTAAAGTTTATTTTATTTTATATATTTTTAATTTATTTAATCTTTGATTATTATTTATGAATAGTTATGTGTTTTCTGAGTTAATACCTACCTACTTATTAGTTATTTATTATAATTCAAAATCATACAATTTCACTATCATTTTGTATTTTTTATAGAGACCGAATACTGTCGAAGAATGGCTCGATATTGCCAATGGTTTCGAAATGAGATGGAATGTACCAAATTGTATCGGCTCATGGGATGGCAAGCACATAGCATTGCAATCACCGATGAATAGTGGAACAGAATATTATAATTATAAAGGTTTTTTTAGTATTGTTTTGATGGCAGCATCCGATTCTAATTATAATGTAATATGGGCTAATGTTGGTAGTCAGGGACGTATTTCTGATGGTGGTGTTTTTGACAATATGAAATTCAAAAACTTAATGATATCTGGTCAACTTAAACTTCCTGATTCTCGACCTTTAAGAGGAAGGAGTACTCCGATTCCGTATGTATTCATTGCAGATGATGCGTTTCCCATATCACACAATATTATGAAACCCTACTCAGGCCACCACGAAAAAGGTTCAAAAGAAAGAATATGTAACTACAGATTTAGCCGGGGTAGAAGAGTCGTGGAAAATTTATTTGGTATATTGGCTTCAGTTTTTAGAGTATTTCGTAAACCGATGTTAGTTGAACCAAACAAAGCAGAAATAATTACTTTAGCGTGCTTACATCTACATAACTATTTAAGACTTCAAAACAGTCGTACTGGCAAACTGGTACAGTTGATCTTGAAAATATTGATACAGGAGAAATAACACCAGGAACATGGAGAAGCGATCAAGTAGGATTAAATAGTTTTATGGGGTTAGATAGGGTAGGACGCAGACAAACTATTGAAGCGCATAAGATCAGAGAAGAATTTAAAGAGTATTTTAATTCAAATGAAGGACGAGTTCCGTGGCAAGATTTATGTGCATAAAATATGTGTACTTATAGTATCAGTATGTATGTAAATTATTTATTTAATTGATAAAAGGTTATTTAATATTTAATTGTTATTATTATAATATACTCATTGATTAAATATTTTGTGCGTATGATTATACGTATACACTAGTACACTATTGTTTCTTATTATTATTATTTTAAAAATGTTTGGTTAATAGTGTATATTATATTATGTATTTTATTACTTATAATAATTAATAACTAATACAATTTATTATATGATACGTGTTAATTTTACCCAAGGTTAGGTAAATAAATCATAACTATTTAAAAATAAATAAATTTATTAATTTTGTTTTTTGATATTTCATTATTGCCAAATGCCAATAAGTATAGTAATGCTTATATTATACTATGTATAATCTATATACAATATAATTATGACTTGAGAAAAATATTAACTATTATTATTAGGTATATCAAAGTCCAGTGGCGTATATAGGGGGTGGGCCTAGTGGGCTGCAGCCCCCCTTGAAATTACAGTATTTTTAAATAGAATAACAATATATTTTATTAGGTACTATTATAAGTTGTAAAATTTCATAGCCTGGTAAAAAATAACGAATACGAATATATTTATAGAAACTGTTAAATATATAGTAGACAGCAGCGAGCAGCCTCTATAGATCACCTGCTAGTTTCTATCTACTATAGCCCACCCCAAAAATAATTTCTACATACGCCACTGTCGAAGTCTGTTGTATATATATTTAATTATATTTTGTTTTGTATTAAAAAGGTTAATGTAAATTATAAATAAACAAATATCTATTTAAGCAATTGTTCGCTTATTTACGTTTTTAATAAAAAAAATACAATGTATTTATGATGCATACCTGTATGGTGCCAGTTTCGATAGTTGGTCGACAGTCATTTCTGTCCTTCAAGAACTCGAAGCTTTTGAAAGCGAACCATTTGGAGCAGTAAACATCATCAGCACCATCCCCAGAACGCTGTTGCTTAACTTTTTTCACTTCACGCCAAAAGTGACAAATTAAATTTTTTAATTTTCGGTCAACTTCTTCTTTTGACGTATCCATATGTTTGCTAATTTCTAGCAAACTATCTTGCCTTATGTATCGATTTCTGTAGTCCTTGTGTTTGGTGTTCCAAAGATTTGTCGATTCTTTGTATAAATCGATCAACAGTAGGCACTTTTCATTTGACCATTCAACACTACTTGTCGGTTGATCAGTCATTTTTAATGTAAATTATCACAACACTTTGAATTTCAATAGCAATATTAATAACTATAGTGTACTCAGTACTATAGGTACACATCAACACTTGTAGAATATAGTGGAGTGACTGAGGTATTTTGTCTATAATTTGTGTGTAGGTACTCTACTATTATTGCTTAATATTAAAAATAAATATCCATGTTCATGGGTTTATAATATATGGGGTTCTTAATTTAGACAGTGGCTTATTAAAACTGAACAAGAATTTTTGGGTTTTACATTTTAATTAAATATTAATATTTGTCCATGTACCTAAAAGTATTTTTAATTAAATTAATTACTTTTAATATAAAGTTATTCTTAAAATAATTTTAGTAACATAAAAATAACGAAAATACCTACGATTTAGTCGCTTGTAGCCTATAGGCACAAACTATGTGAGTTTGACACGAAAACAGTAATATTATTTTAGTCCGTCGGTAAAGTTGATCATAGTGGTTATGTTATTCACATATCCATATATTATATTATGAAAATGAATGTATGTCTGTGTGTGTGTGTGTCCTTTATGCGTTCCTTAACGACTGGACCGATGTTGATGAAATTTGGTACAGAAATAGATAAGATGGGCAGAAGATAGGCTAATTTATAAAGGGAGAGGACCAACCCCGGGAGGTGCTCAAACAGAGATTTTTAAATTTCTTATGGACATTTTTGTTTATAAATGGTCGCTATGGGTTTTAAAGTTGCTATTTTAATAATAATATATTATTCATAATTACTATAGGTTGTGTCATTTTTAATGGGCAACGAAGTGCACGAAATCAGCTATTATCTATATTTTTGTATCTCAAAAAACATGAAATTAAAGATTTTTGAAAAATCATTATTGATCTTAGTATTTTTGAAAACAGAAAATCTTCAGTATCGACATTTTGATAAAATAAAAATTGTATCCACTGGAGATTACAATAAAAATCAGTTTTACCTCAGTGAAAAAAGTTTGTTCTGCTACTAATTACTTAAAAAATAATTTAAATACTTAAAAAATAAGTACTGATGCCGCGTGGCTTTGCCGAAAATACGTCCACACACACGCGGCATAGGCGAGCGGCACAAGCCGCGCGACTTTCCTTTGATGTAGACCGCCTACTAGGCCGATCGGAAATTATGCCGCGCGGCATCAAAAAAAGCCGCAGAAAATGTATTTATGTATTCACACTCATGCCGCGCAGCCGTGCCGCGCGGCAAAAGCTGCTCCGTCTGGACGTGCCTTAATAAATTATTTTTAGTGAAGACCGGCTTAACTCAGATAAGCCGTTTCATCTATTGCACTTTGAAACCAATCATATATAGTTGGGTCGTTCTAAGACATCGAATAATATTGTAGATTATTAAACTAAGCTTAGTACACACACAATAATATTATTATTAGATTTAAAGTTGAAATTTGTTAGTTAGGTAGGTATGGAAAATACTATATTATTCTCAGTGATCGTCGTTCTGTCAAACTATCCGATCGTTATTACGCGTGTTATACGTATCTGGCTGTTTTTATTATAAAAGTGTGGTTTTTTAAGTATAATGGAAAGTGCAAGTTCTGATGATTTTTTCGAAGATAGTGGCAGTGACTGGACCCCGTTAAATGAGATTGAATATGATTCAATTTTAGCTTTTAATAGCGATGAAGAAAATGTACCGCCAATTGAAAAAAATCAAGAATCGGATGTTAATATTGTTCCGGCCACTTCTTCATCTTCAGATTTGGAAGAAGTTGACACACCGACTAGAAAACGAAAGCGTTTGACCGAAAAATGGAAGAAAAATGTCATGCGTAAAAATAAAAACTTAGGATTACAGTATGAAAATTCGAAAAAGCAAGTTATTGATGCTAAATCTGTGCGAGGGCCATTTAGTACGAATTGCAGAATTAAATGTACCAGTAAAATAACTGAAGAGCAAAGAAAATGTATTTTCAAAGACTTTTGGAATCTGGCAGTTTTATCAAAACAGCGTGACTTTGTAAGTAGGCATGTCGACGAAATTAATCCAAAACATCGATATGCGAAAGCAGGTACTTCAAGATCATTGAACTATGGGTTTTTTTTTTAATATTAGTTCCACACGAGTGAAAGTATGTAAAACTTTTTTATTGAATACGTTAAGTATTTCAGATCGAATGATCCGAACTGTAAAAGAAAAAATGAAAAATGGTTTTCTAGACGAAGATTTTAGAGGCAAACATAAGAAACAAAAATCACTTGATTCAAATATTAAAGAGTCGACAAAAAACACATTGAACTTTTTCCGACAATTGAGTCACATTATCTCAGAAAGCAGACTACAAGAACTTAAATTTCTGGAAATTTAAATGTAGCAAAAATGTACAGAATGTACGTAGAATATTGTAAAGAACAAGGTATGCAAAAGTGGTCTAATCTCGCTATGTACCAACATATTTTTAATTTTAATTACAATATTGGTTTTTTTATACCAAAAAAAGATCTATGTAATACTTGTGAATCGTACAAAAATACAGAAAATAAAACTGACGAAATAGAATTATTGCAAAATCTTCATCTTTCTGAAAAAAATGCTGTTCGTTTGGAAAAAGAAGATGATAAACAAAAAGCAATCGATGGTTTTCAGTCTACCACTTGTTTTGATTTACAAGCTTTATTGATTGCGCCTGCCGGTGAAGTATCAAGCTTTTATTACAAAAGACGCTTAGCAACATACAATTTTACTATTTATAATATGAAGAACGGAGAAGGGACGTGTTACGTCTGGAATGAGACAATAGCAAACCGGGGTGCAAATGAAATTGGTTTATTGGATTTTATGTGTAATGAATTTAATGGAACTGAAAATAATTTAGCAGATATAATATTTTATTCTGAAAACTGTTCAGGACAAAATCAAAATAAATTTATTGCATGTTTATATTTATACGCATCATTAGTATTAAATATCAATACAATTCACCACAAGTTTCTAATCGTGGGCCACACACAAAATGAAGGAGACTATGCATTCAGTAATAGAACGTCAAAAAAATTGGTACTCCGAAGTGGCCCGATCTATGTACCGTCTCAATGGGTATCAGTTATTAAGTCGGCAAAACAAAAAGGAAAACCATATACCGTAAAAGAAATGTCTACTTACTGAAGATTTTTTCAATTTAAAAGATTTAAGCAGAGATATCGGTACAAATTTGACGTAAAATAGAATTGACACAATAAACTGATTATTTAACTTAATATAAATTATTATTGAATTTTGTATGACTTACAAAAACTAGGAAGACAGTCGTGTGTAAGCGACGATGCAACTGTAATAAAGTCTGCGACCACACAAGTACGCTAGACGATATCCTGACAAACTATAAGGTTCTATTCAAAATATTAATATAATTATATAGAATATACAGTGATTATGGAGAAGATGATTTACGTCATTGTACCCTACTAGTTCAATACTTGCGATAAGACATCGATATTAGTGGCCTGGGGGTCTATTCTCGAATGTAACGTAAGAAAAGTGAACGACCAAAGCGTACGTAAACCACCATTTTTACGTAGTATATTAAAAAACCGTATTCTTGAATTTTTATCGTACATACGTATACGTAATTATTCGTAGTTCTCTTATGGCCCGGACACACTATTCACACGCCATGTCTTAACATGTCTTTACACGCCACGCATTAACACGCCGATAATTTTAAATCGCGTGTTAACGCGTTTATTTTTAATTATTATTCGATTTTGTGATCATATTTATAACACACAACGCATTCCCACTCAATTCCACGCCACGCGTTTCAAACAAATTTGAAAAACGTGTGACGTGTGATAGTATCGTATTATTTAAAATACGATCATTTTACTCCAGAAATCGGTCGGTACTGTTTGTATCTCCTATCTTTTTAAAATTAAAATTTAAAATGTCTTCATTTGAGGAGTCATTAATTGAAAATGTCCGGGAACATAAGTCTTTATACATTTTTTCTGTCGACTTTAAAGATAATAACATTCGTAAGGAGGCATGGGAAGAGATTGGTGCAAATTTACAAATGTCAGGTACGATATTAAGTTTTTAATAATTTATAATAAAGAATACATACTTGCATATTGACATACCTATATACTTATTATTCATATAGTTATACATAATAATACATCATACGAAAAATAAATGTTTATTAGGTATGTTTTTATTTATTGTATTTATTGTATATTTGTACCTATACAAAGTATAAAAATAATTAAAAGTATATAAAGAACAATTTTTAATTTAAAATATTTTTAACAAGGCTTACATTTTGTTATTTCGGATCGTTGATCAATCATTAATTCTTCCTCTCCAAATCATTTCGTACTGCCATGGTACTGCCCCCACAGATGATGAAAAAAAATCTTTAAACTTGTCACGTATTTCAAATGATCTCTGGGTGCTATTCCCTCTTAGCTGTTCCATATTTTCAAAAACTTCGGTACTGTCATAATTATTTATTTCATCTACTTGAAAATCATGGCTTTGGCATAACATATTATGAAGACAACATGCAGCAAGTACTATGTTGTCTACGGATTTAGGTTGTATTTGAATATTTGTTCTAAACACTCTCCAACGATTTGAAAGTATTCCAAACGCGTTTTCCACTACACGTCTTGCACAAGAAAGTCTGTAGTTAAAAATTTTGTTTCCTTCATTTCCACCTAAAGTTGCCCTGCTATATGGTCTCATAAGATATGACTTCAAGGGAAACGCCTCATCTGCAACCATTACGAATGGTATTGGGTCTCCATTTTCTTCTATTGGTGTAACAGGTGGAACATCTAATCTGCCGTTTGCTAATGCTTTTCCTAATGCGGATTTAGCAAATACATGCCCATCTGAGTTCCGACCATAAGAACCTACATCAACAGTTATAAATTTATAGTGAGCATCTACCAAAGCAAGCAAGACGATCGAATTAGCCCCTTTGTAATTAAAATATGCCGATCCACCATTTATAGGACGTTGAATATTAATGTGTTTGCCGTCGAGAGCCCCAATACAATTTGGAAAATTCCATAATTCTTTATATTCCCTGCTAATTTTTTGCCAATCTTCTTTGGTGGGTTTTGGCATGTAAATTGGCCTTAATGTTTTCCAGATAACTTCACAGACTTCTTCAACGATTTCTCTGGTTGTGCTAAATCCCAGACGAAAACTAAAAGCTAAAGACCTATAAGATTCCCCGGTAGCAAAAAATCTGTAAATATTTAAATATTTAGAAGTTAAAATAAGAATATCATAGGTACTCAAAACTTAATATTAAAATATTATTTTAGTTTACTTATTATTAATACTTATCATAAGAGATTAGTTGACCTAAAAAAATGAATACAAAACAAAAAAAGAACAGAAAAAAGTTATAATGACAGTTATTTTATAGATAACCTAAAAACTAAAAAAAATTACCTTATAATAATTTTAAAATAATTAAAATTCATTAATTATTTATTTAAAAAAAAACAATTATATCATTCAAATTATATATTGAACAATTAAATGTGTTTTCACAGTAATGTTAATTAATAAACTATTTATAATAAATTTATAATAAAATTGTAATATAAAATAATTAATATTAATAAAATTTAATAGTTAATATTATGTACCCTAGGTTAGGATACGTTAAAATAAATTCATACATCATTAAACACGTAATTTTATGTTTTTTATAATAGCTGATAAGTGCAAGTCACTGAAAGTGACTGAACACCTAAGTGCGTTCATAACATTTTTGGTGGCAGCGGTGGGATACGTCTTCCAGTATCTCGCTACTACGTCATTTCATAAATCGGAAGAAAGAGAATCAAAACTTTAGTGTCAAATAGCAAGTGCATTTATCAACCGGACGCAAATCATACGGAGCATTTACAGAAACTCGTCGATCTATTTTTTTTTAGGAAGTATAGTAATATTTTATTATTGTTATTATAATATTATACTCGTTTATAGTACGACGTATACGACGACAATCGGGTCGACATCGACAAAATTCATAGAAGGGGCATATACATAGCGGTGCCACAACAGTCGTCGGTGTCGCCGATAGAATCCAGATAATTATCGCTGACGTCGCTACGCAGGCCGCCGCCGGAATTGTTACCAGTACCACCACCCGCGTTGCCACTGGGACTGCCGCCGAGAGCCGCCGTTGACGTCACGAGCCGTCCGAGCTGTGCCGCCGAGCCACGAGCCACGAGCCACAGCGAAGGTCACACGGGTACGAGTTACATTAAGGCGGGTTTCCACTATACACGTATGCGTGTACGTGCATAAAAATTCTTCGCTGTGATTGGTTGGTATACATGGTAAGCATTTGGTATACCAAAGTGTTTATACGTTCTTACCGCACGATTAACCATGTTACCGTGTTGTTGGACATAGCTGAACATTTTTCGTGTACACGGCACACCATTGTGATAAGGAGATGATAAAGTAACTGATATTTGATTTCCATATACCTATTTTTACTTGGACGGTGAAAAACTGAAAACTGAAATAAAATAAAAATAACAAATATGGATCCGTCTAAAATATTAGTAAGTATCTTATATTATTATAATTAATTATTTTTATTGTGTTTATTATTATATTATTATTTATTACAAAGAACAAACTTAATTTCATTTATAAAAATCATATTTTGCTGAATTTTAGAACACTTACATTTTATTACACTTTATATAATAATGAATAATAGTACATATTAACAATAATTGATCTAATCACGGCCGAAGTAGTCTAATGTCTCTCTAAAAGATGCATTGTTCATCTTACTCACATTTAAATAAATTTCAATAATAAGACTATTTTATTTTCCACTGCTTTCCTCTCACAATCCTAGACAGCCCTCCTAGATAGTTAAAACGCAAATGGTGCAAATACCTTTTACAAATTTAACTTAAAAAAAAACATGATTAAATAAACAATTATATGTATATTTATATAATTTATTTAATTGTATATTTATGTTGAATGTTTAAGGGAATGCTGTGCAGACACTGCAGTCAGTTAATACCAATTAATGATGAAAACCACAAATGTTTAGCAAGTAAGAAAATTAAAAATATATTTTTATTTTAATTTCATAACATTGATGGTATTTTGTTCTTTCTCAAATACGATTTTTTTTTGTAAATTTAAAGTGGTAGGTAGTTTCATACTTCAATTTTTAGTAACAAAAAAAAAAAAAAAGTAATTTTAATAATATAAATTAATTTAATAGCATTTAAACTAATTAATATTAATTTTTTTTAGGCACTGGTCAAGCGATGTATAAATTCAAAAAAATTGAGCCCAAAATGTCGTGTAAGTAACTACTAATTTAGTAAAATTAATTTCTGCTAAATCATAGATGAAGCCATCATCCTCCAACATGTTGCTTTACATTTCTATTTAAATTAATAAAATTATGACAATGGCAAAAAAATAGTTATTTATAAAATATTTTTTTAATTTTAGCTTCAACCGTATCAGCATATCCAGAGCCTTCAACATCAAAACCATCATTAATCTCAGACTTCTTAACTGAAATTGAACGTGAAGAACTAAATGTATCACCTTCAAACCTCTCAGAAAACACTTCTGATGATGATGATAATGAGTTTTATAGCAGTCTTATTGCTGAGGGAAATGAACGAAATCCACTATGGGACCATCGTCTCCCATTGGCTGCTCGTTATGAGCCCATAAAACAAAATTTATGGAATGAGATTTACGTAGCACTGAACGGTTAGTTTTAATCCATCTATTATCTAATATTTCATTAAGTTTCATTATAATTTTGGTATGGTTATTAAATGTATGCAGGTATATATTCGATAGATGTGTTGAAAAAAAAGTGGAAGTATCTGAGAGAAAAGTTTGTTAGAGAAAAAAAAAAACCTGCAAGTGGTGCTGCTGGAGGGAAGAGGAAAATATGGTGCCACATGAACTCATTAGAATTTTTAAATGATGTAGTTACAGGCAATTATAGGTAAGATAATAATTATTTATATAAGGACTTGTAGCATTTGCATATTTTTTTTGCACAGTCAAAAATTCGCAGAGTAAGAAACAAATACGTTTCATGCTGAAACAAAGCTAGTTTTCAAATTTTATTTTGCATATAAATGCATATTTTGAGTTTTTTTTTGGTTTAAGGGCATATTTATTGTCTGGTTATTAATTTAATTCACCGACATTGGACATATTTATATATCAGTATTTATTTTTTATAATTTGAAGAAATTGACATATTCATTTTAAAAAGTATCTGAAAACCTATAAATTTAATTAATTCAATACTTGTAAGTTTAAATTGAACTAAAATATATTCATAAAAATAAAAGGTACAGAAAAATTCTTATTTTTAATTCAAATTTATTCATTTTAAAATGCATATTTTGTATATTTAAGTGCATATTTGGTGATTTTTTAGTGCTATGAGTGCCCTATTTATAATATTTATAATAATTTTTAATAATATTATTTATATTGTTGATACATATATTATATATATACAAATATTGAAAGGTTGACATTTTTAATAAATTGATGTAGAATTATATTTTCTTACTCTTGTAGTCTTGTACGACTGATGTATTTTTATTGAGATTTTAATCCAGGTAATGGTCAAATGTGAATAATATTATATTTTGTTAACAGAACTACAAGTAATATTAATCCTGTAAATAATATGTCAGTGTTAGATAGTGAAGCCAGTCCAGAACAGAGTACTAAGCCAACAAAAAGTAAATGACACATATATTTATTATGTATACCAATTAATTAGACATTAATTACCTATAAACTATTAATACATTTCAAATCACATTAATTTTAAATTTCTCCAAACATTTTTTTTTATGGTTATAATAATATGAAGTTCTGATTAAAATTAATAGAATTTGTGTTTAGGATCAAAGAATGATACTTTTGAAGAATCAATTTTAAAGGAATTGCGTGAATCAAGACCGGTTGCACCAACAAGGGCTCCACCAACTAACGAAGAAAACGGGGACTTACACTTCTGTAAATATTTGGCACATTTAATGAAAAATATGACAGAAAAAAAAAAATTAAGATTACAATCACAATTTATATGCCAAGTTATTGATAGTTTGGAAGACTGACTATGAAGTTTAAGACAGATTATTAAATTATAAGATTGAAAGTAACTTCTTATAAATTTGTTAAATTATTTGTTATTATTTTATTTTGAAAAGTATCTTAAAAAGTATTATTATTTGAATTTGAATAATTCTACATATCCAATTTTGTATTTTGTTTTGTTTTCATTGTTAACATATGAGTGGTTTTGTTTATTTTTAGTCTAGGAAAAGTTTTACTATTTTTTTGTTTTTAATTTTAATTTCATTCATAACCTATATAAATATTGAGATTTGATTTTTCATTGAATAAACAAATTTTTTCAAACATTTTTAATATTCAAAGTTTATTTACAATAAATAGTTATTTAACTAATCTTTCATATTGAAATGCAACTGCACCTTCGCCTGAAAAATGATTCTTAAGTTTATTTCTGATTATCTTAGCATTTGCTGAATAGGTATTGGTTCCTAATTGGTTTACTGGTCTTAAAGCTCCCATTTCTAGTGTTGCCCATCGATTGTCTTCATCAGGTTCGATGTCCAAAGGGCCACTATAATAACGTACACCTATGATACACGTCTTAAGTTAAAAAAAATTTCAAATAACATTAAGTATTATTTACAATAAGTACCAGCATTATTTTCTGACATTTTTATAAAATTATGCAATACAACTGCATCTTTTGTAATTGCTTCTACAGTATTGCGTCTGGCAATTATTGGTTTTCTAAACACACGCCATTTTGAGGCCATTATTCCAAAGGTATTCTCAATGGTACGTCTACCTCTGGAAAGTCTGTGTAAAAAAAAAAAGTTGTTACTAATATATTTTAATTTATTAAATAAATACAACCAACCTATAGTTAAATATTGATTCGTTTAATGGTAGTTTTCTTTTACCTCTTCCTGGGTAAGGGCGCATAAGATTAGTTAGTAGTGGAAACGCTTCATCACCAAGTGCATAGTATGGAATTGGACCACTGTTACTATCTATATCTTTAGCAGTTGGGAAATTTAAATTATTTGCCATAAAACCCTTACCCATTTCAGAGTTAGAGAAAACTCCACCATCACTGCATCTTCCATCTGCACCAATGTCTACTATAGTAAAGTTATAACTGGCGTCACACATTGCCAACAGTATTATACTATGTGATCCTTTATAGTTATAATTTTCAGATCCACTATTGGCAAATGCCTGTACAATTGTAATACATCTTATTTTTATTTGTTCAAATAAATAAAATAAATAATTATCACCTGGTGTACAATATGTTTACCATCAATACTGCCTATACAATTTGGTACTTGCCATTTATTTTCAAACTCGACACCTAACTGTGCCCATTTTTTAGTATCTGGTACAATTAATACCTATCATAGGAAGTTATAATTTATTAAAATAACGACTATATTTTACTACATACCAATGACCAGACTTGCTTATTATAGCTTATAAGTTATATACCTAATATACAATTTGTCTTAATAATGTTCTAATGTTAGTTTACTCAGAATCCTACAAACATTACATACCTTTGTATTTAGAGTATCCCATAAAACTTCACAGCATTGGAAAATAAGTTTAGATACAGTAGCCTTCCCTATACGAAATGAGTACATTATTGACATCATTGATTCACCAGAGGCAAGATACCTGTTACAGTTAAGCATAAATATACTAAACAAATGGATAGTAAATAGTAATGAATTATAATTACCGCAAAGTTGCTGTTAGTACTTCTCCAACTGATAATATATCAGGCCGACTTGGAAATCTCATTATTTTGGGTCCAACTAAGCATACCAGTTCCTCAAATGTACTAGCAGACATTCTTAGAAAGTTTTGGTAGAGTTCTGAATTTGTTAATTGCAGTTCACTTGTCAAACAATGCCAATGCCCATGCACTCTCCTTTCTTTTAGAAATGGTTTAACATGCCATCTGGGTTTTGATCTAGTAAATAATAATTTAGTATTAAAAAATAATATATACTCAAATAAAAGATTATAATATTATTACCTGTCGTTTTTGTTCTTTTTGTGTAAAGTGGCCAAATAGACAAGTAACACTTTTCTATGATGCACTTGGTTTACATAATTATACCATTGTATGTCTTCGTTTTCCATTTCACAATCGTGTATATTAATTATAAAATCAAATAAAGTAAATAGTACCTACTTGGTAGTAAATAAGTAAAAAAATATCAGCACAAACCACAATGAATTATAATAAAATATTTTTAATAAAAAAGGCGGGATATCCTCTATTATCAACAATTATATCAAGAACCATACATAATATAACCATAGCTACCAAATTAACCAGTCTGAAACGTTTTGAAGACCGTTCGAACGTGTAATTTTTATGCACGTACACGCATACGTGTATAGTGGAAACCCGCCTTTACGCCGGGACAGCAACTGTCACGGTGACAACCACAACCACAACCACAGCCACGCGCATTTAATTGACCGTCGCGCGCCGTGAGTAATAATTTTTCGTACGCGATTGTATTTTTTGTTAGTAATATAAAGTTAGTGCTCTGCTGAATTGTAACTGCCGAACTTCCGTTTTGTTTGTCAACGAAATTTTTTTAGAATAAGAATAATATTACTGTATAATTATTATATTGTGACATAATTACTATTACCTAAGGGGCATTAAATTAATGAGTCGAAGGGGCAGCGAAGATAGGTCATCTAAAAATTTAGACCAGATAATTTCCTCAGATAATAGTCTCCCCCCAGACACACAAACCCTTTTATCTTTCACACCGGTACCAACCACCCGGGCTAGCCTACCTATTAGGGGAGCTAATCCCGGAGACCCTTTTTCAGGTAGAGAGGTAGCAGAAATTTCAGTTGACCATTTATTAATCCGAGAATCAGATTTAAACTTAAATACAGAAGATTTATTGCTAAACGTAACGAGAGAACTGAAAGAAGTAGATAAAAGTATAATTGAATTTAATAAAAAGACCCCCACAAACATGGATGAAAACGCAGGACCTTCAGGCAGCTCCAATCAGCTCATCAACACACAACAACCAAAGACTAAGGAACCAGTTCAGCAAGTGGACTGGACAGCAGACAATAATTCGCATCATATTTTTCCTGGAACCGAAGGGATGAATAAACAAAGTATGGGACAAATAGTAAATGATGGAACGCATAACGGTTCAATGGAATCGAAAAAGGAAAATTCAGTTCACACAGAACATTTGAAGGAATTCGATTTGGATGCGTTGATTAACCAACGAATGAAAGAATTATGCCAAAACTACTCGGTGAAGGCGGAAAACGCGGATCAAGAAAAAACAAGCTTGGAATCAATACGTGAAATCATTGATGCTAAGATAATAGCAGCTTTAGGGAAGAAAGGATACACCGGAACGCCACAGCCAGAACCGTCAATGGCTAATTTCATTGTATTAAAGGAAGCTCTTAACTTGTTGCCAAAATCATTCGATGGAAGGGACATCGAACAATTAGATATTTTCCTAGAAAATTGTGAATTTGCAGTATCATGCGTACAAGAGCCTTCCAAAAATCGGCTACTACAGGCGATAATGACAAGACTAACTGGTAAAGCTCGTCAAGTATCTAGGAACCGAACATTTGATACGTGGGAAGCACTACGAGAATTTCTGAAGGCTAACCTAGAACCTCAGCGTACTACACAGCACTTATACCTCGAATTATATTCGTCCAAACAGA